CTACAACAAGGGGGGGGAGGCGAGGAAGGGAGAAGGGAGAAGGGGGAGAAGGAGGAGGAGGAGAAAGAAATGGCTGTTAGTTTGGGCACATTATCTTGTTCTTGTTTTTTTCTTTGTAATCTTATTTCTTAATAAAGTTATTTTTCTTATTTCGTTTCTTATTTGTTCTTGTTTTACTTCGTTTCTAGCTAATTCTTATTTCGTTTTTATCTTATATTTCCTTTCGTTTCTAATTTGTTATCTTGAGCCGTGACTTGTTCTTACTTCATTTCATTTCTAATTTGTTCTCATTTAATTTCATTCTTTAATTTGTTCCTTTTTTATTCTTGCTTTATCTTAACGTAACTTTTTTAACATATATTTTCTATCTATGTTTCGTTACCTTTCCTCTTATTTTCCTATTCTCTTTATACAGTGACTTCAAATCTCTTAATTTCATTCTTTTAATTTGAATTTAAATTTGTTTTCGTGATCTAATTTCCTATCCTTTTCTACTACGTTATTTTTATCTTCTTTTCTCAACCTTCGATGATTATATATTCTATATTCATGGAGCTTACTTTAATCACGTAGTTCTTTCAATTATATTATCAAGCATTTTGCCGCTTCATATTTCGTCTCAAACTATTCAGCGAGGTATCTGCTCTTATCATAGCCTTCTTAAATACTTACAGGCGGTATAATTAGTCTGCTTTTTTAGAATTAAGATATATTTACATATATACAAATATACATATGTATGTATATGTGTATTTATGTACATATACATATACATATATAAGTACATACATACATACACAAAAAATATGTACATATATATACATACATACATACATATGTATATATACATATAGGTATGTATATATACATATGTATATGTATATATACATACATATATTATATATAAATATATATATATATATATATATATATATATATACTAATATATATTTACATAATATATAGCAAATGATCCAAACCATATATCAAAACTACTCACGTCAGTCAAAATAAATTTAAGCAATAAAGCAAATACATATATATACACATGTCTAAAAAAGAAAAGAGAAAGAAACGCATCACAAGAGCCATTTGCCTAATCTCCGGCAGCAAACCCCAAACCCGCCCTCAGCGCAGGCCATCCCGCACCATTTCCCGCGTGAATCATCCTTATCCTGCGTCGTTTGAGCTGGTAAGGACCAAACAAGCGCAATGCGTCCGTAATTACCACGCCATTAGCCGCCAACAGGTGTTCCTTCTTACCTCTGCACGGACGACGGGGCTCACGACACGCATTTTACCGCGGATTGTGATGAATATTTATGGGTGGGTTGGCTATGACCGCTGGACTCGATCTGGACGCGAAAGGAACCATCACCCTTTCGGAGGTGGGGAGGGGGGGGGGTATGCTGACAGAACAGGTCTACGAGAAAGATCATTTTTCTTTAAAATAGCAAAAAAGAAAAGAAAAAAGGGGGGTAGACTCGTGTATTTTGAGACGGGATTTAATCTAATTATTTCTATTCTTCTTTTATCATTATTTTATCTTATTTCTTGCCACTGACTGGGGCCAACGATCCCTGAACACTTTGTTTTTTAGCACATGAACTGATACAATGAACATAGCCCTTACGATATAGATCCCTTACCAAAACACGAGAATTAAAGCACACCAACGCCACACGAATAACCGTCGGCCTCGACCATCGCGCCATAAATAATAAACAGCTGATTAGTGACCCCCGGACAAATCCGGGAGTGGAGCACTATCTGTAGGGTAACGAGTAAGGTCAAGCAGGTATACGGGGGCTAATTAACATAAACAAGATGACGTGTCCTAATCATTAGTTTACCAACCAGACAACAGATGTGCTTAGCTAGAGAGGGTAGGGGTTGGGGAAAGAGGGAACGGGGTGATAAAGGGTTAGGGGACAAAAGGGGGTTTTGGGGAGAGAGGAAATGGGGGAAAGGGGGAGGGAGTAGAAGGAATATGGGGGAAGGGGGAGGAGTAGCGGGAAATAGGGGGAAGGGGAGGAGGAAGGAGCAGAGGGAAATGGGGGAAGGGGAAGGAGGAAATGGGAAATGGGGGAAGGGGAGGAGGAGAGGGAAGTGGGGGATGGGGGAGGAGGAGAGGGAATGGGGGAAGGGGGAGGGGAGGAGGAGCGGGAAATGGGGGGAGGGAGGAGGAAAGGGAAATGGGGGAGGAAGAGAAGAAGGAAATAGGGGAGGGGGAAGGTGTAGGGAGAGGGAAAAGGGGGAGGGGAGGAGGAGAGGAAAAATGGGGGAGGGGGAAGAAGGGAGAGAAAAAAAGGGGAGAGGGATGGGAAAGAAGAAAAGGGGAAAAGGGGAAGGAGTGGGGAGAGAAATGGGGGTAGGGGGAGAAAGTGGGGAAAGGGGCAGGGGTAGAGCTGTGTACCGGTACAGTGTATCGGCACAGTACCGGTATAATCGATTAGGTACAGTTCTAAAATCCGGGAACGCTGTTGTACCGGTACTGGACCTGTCTGGATCTAAATGAACTTACATTTATACATGTATATTTTCCTATTGTGACTAAGCCTATAAATACAACTACATTGCTAAGGCCTATAAATACAACTACAATGTTTCAATTCAACTCTTGGAACAGATCACATTACAAGCGCCCTGCCTCCAGAATAGTAATATTTTAAACAGGAAGCTTTCGACACAATTCCCGACTGCCGAGAGAATGCCTGTCTGTCACTAGACTCTGGCGGGAATTTGCGAAAGAGTTTACTTCAAGAAAAGGAAAACAGACTCTTTAAACAGTAAAAGAAAAAAGAAAAAAAAAAAAGGCTTGTCTAATACAATAAATATTTCGTTTAATCTGTTATTTCAAATATTCTTCTGTCCTTATCGAAGATCGACCATTATTTGAACTAGTAATTCGGGTACAAATACAGATTTATACCGGTGTACCTGTACCAATACCTAAATTTTTTAAAAGTACAGCCACGACAAAAAAAAAAAAAAAAAAAAACTCTTATCAAGCATGTTTCGAATTCCGCTTCGAACATCCGCTTCATACCACACTTTTTATATGGCGTAGGACAGGTTCGAAGCTTCAATCTATTAAAAGACTTTGTCCGTCACTGAACACAGCTCTAGGGAGGGGCTTTAGGGTGGGGGAAGGGCAGAGGGAATAAGGTAGCAGTGGCATAGGTGGTGAGGTGGGGAGACTATCGGGTGACGAAGCGAGGGGGGTGAGAGAGAGAGAGGGGGTGGAGAGAGAGAGAGAGAGGGAGTGAGAGAGAGAGGGGGGGTGAAAGAGAGAGGGGGTGAGTGAGAGAGAGAGGAAGGTGAGTGAGAGAGACGAGGAGGGTGAGAAGAGAGGGAGTGAGTGAGTGAGAGGGGGGGGTGATGAGAGAGGGGTGAGTGAAGTGAGAGAGAGGGGGTGAGTGAGAGAGGGGGGGGGAGGTGAGAGAGGGAGTGACAGAGTGAGTAGAGAGAGAACAAAGTTAGAGAGACAGAGAGACAGAAACAGAAACAGAGACAGAGACAGAGACAGACAGACAGACAGAGGAGACAAGGGAAAGACCGACAAATTCCCTCGTTCTCACTCCACTCGCGTTCTAAATTCCTCTCTCATTATCCCTTTTCCCACGGACATGCCTCCACGTTATTCGCCTGCGCCTAAAAAACGAAGTTACTGACCAATTGCATTAAAACAACAGCAACGCAACTTAAATCCGCCATTACGTAATTGGTTTGAAATGTTTATTAAAGGGTGAAAAAAATGCAGACTCTGAAAATAGAGGAAAGGTATCTGTGCATCAACTCAAGAGTGATTGAAATTCGAGTGAAGTTGAGGGCCAATGATCGAGCGTTAGATACATTGCTCGTCTAATCTGAGTATAGCATTTAGTCGGTAAGGAAAAAAAAATAAATATGAATAAGCATAAGAAAAAAAATAAAAGCAAAAATAAATAAATAAATAAAACAAGACAATAAATTATCAAATAGAATAGAATATAATAAAACAAAAATAATAATAAAAAAACAGACGAACCAAAAAAAGATCTAGGTTTCTCTACACTCAAGTGGGAGTTTGGGGTGGGGGGGAGCAGATGGGGGTGGGTGGATGCAGGTGGTGGTTGGGGTGGGGAGCAGATGGTGGTGGGTGGGATGCAGATGGGGTGGATGGGGAGCAATGGGGGTGGGGTGGGATTGCATGGTGGTGAGGATGGGGAGGCAGATGGGGGTGGGGTGGGATGCAGATGCAGGGGTGGGATGGGGAGGGATGGGGTTGGGGTGGGATGCAGGGTGGGTGGTTGGGGTGGGAGCAGTATGGGGGTGGGGTGGAGCAGATGATGGGGTGGGGGATGGGGAAGCAGATGGGGTTGGGGGGGCAGATTGGGGGTTGGGTGGGAGCAGATGTGGGAGGTGGGATGGGGGAGCAGATGGTGAAGGGTGGAGGTGGAGGATTGCAGGTGGTGGTTGGGGTGGGGAGCAGATGGGGGTTGGGGTGGGGAGCAGAGGGGTGGGGTGAGGGAGAATTGTGGTGGGGATGGGAGCAGATGGGGGGGGGTGGGCAGATGGGGGTGGGTGGGATGCAGGTGGGGTTGTGGGTGGTGGGATGGGGTTGGGGTAGATGGGGTGGTGGGGAGCAGATGGGGGTTGGGGTGGGGATGCAAGGGGGTGGGTGGTTGGTGGTGGTGTGGGGAGCAGATGGGGGTGGGGTGGAGCAGTGCAGATGGGGGTTGGGTGGGAGCAGATGGGATGCAGATGGGGGTTGGGTGGAGCAGATGTGGGTGGGGGATGGGAGCAGATGGGTGGGGTGGGATGCAGATGGGGGTTGGGTGGGATGCGATGGGGTTGGGTGGGGAGCAAGTGGTGGTTGGGTGGGAGCAGATGGGGAGGTGGGTGGGAGCAGATGGGGGTTGGGGTGGATTGCAGATGGTGGTTGGAGCAGATGGGGGTTGGGGTGGTGGGGTGGGGGTGGGGCAGATGGGGAGGTGGGGTGGGAGCAGGTGGGAGTG